CGAGAAAGTAAGTCACTCGTTTGGGTACAAACTCGAATCGGCGCTATATATTACACTACAGCAGAACGTGCTCCAGTTATCTCGGTCGCCTTTGCCCGTCGCCTCGCATCTTGACAGAAAATAGGGGGAGGCATCGACTGCATTCAATTGTGCTTGCACAGATATAGGCCCTTACAAATAAGCGGTCCAGGGGGATTTCATTGAAGGTGTTTCCAGGCAAACACCCGTATCCGTTCGCTAGTACAGCGACTCGAAAACCAGCCAAGTCGATCTGATATTTTGATATTCATCAACCTTGAAGCGGCTTATCGTTGTTAGCATCAAGTATACTTGAACAAATAACACGGGTAGTAAAAGTGATTTCGTTCCGTAGAAAGAGGGGGAGGGAGGGGGTGGCGTAAGTAGCTCGTGTGTTCGCCTTCTTTGCACATTTTTCTCTTCAATTTGCAAAGTTGCAGCGCCGCCGCGAGTTCGTTCCGCTCCTTCGCTCGTTTTCTCTCCCGCTGCATAGACGCCGGGCGCATTTTCTCGGCTAATTTGAATACTGATAAACGCGCAGCCCTCCTTTCCATTCTTTTCACCGTCTTCTTTCTCTATCCTTCTTTGTTACGATTACGGAGCTCCGACGTCGCGCGATTATACTTCTACTTGGTTCTCGAGCTTTTTAATAATTGACTCGCGCTTGTCTCGCGCACGGGTACGTGTTTTAATAAAATTACCACCAGTCACGAGGTCTCGGCAACCATCACCGATCCGACGCTGGAATATTTCATAGGTTGTGGGACAAATGACACCTGCCGATACAGCATAATTTATTTTCATGTAATAAAAGCGCATCACCGAGATTAACGCGTTGGATCACCCCCGACTCCTCGACGTAGGTATATAATTCAGAGGGAAATTCAGTCTTTTGAATCGCACGAAAAGGGCGTAGCTCGTCCGTGCCTTTTGTAGTTCTTGATTTCGTGATTCCTTTGCAGCTTCCGGTTCAAAGAACACGGGCGCGCCTTTTGCAAAGTCGGTTTTTATTTTCTCCCACCAGGTCTCGTAAATTGATTATCGATTTCAAATAAATTCCGACCCGAGGATGCATCGCCTACGGTGCGTACAGCGGCTGTATTTTCTAAGGTCTCGTGTGTTGGCGGTGAACGTGGCTCACGAATCAATTGAATCATAGGGATGACCTGTAACATTGGGGTATGGAGTATGCGTTTAGATTTTAGAGTTGGATTAACTCCTCAAAGGGGCTAATTAACGTGTTTTGAAAACATCGAATCTAAAGAATATTATTTTTCATCTTGCTATGAACAAACTAATTATGCGAAACGGTCGATTGAGCCGTTTTACAGTGTACCATGGCCCCTCGAGCTATACTCACCCACTTCGGGCAATTTGCTCTGAGGAAGGAAAAGTTTTTTAATAAGCTCTCTCGGCAGCATTATTTGAATCTTTTTTTTTTCCTCGGGGCATATTCGTTGAAAAACAACGATCGGATTTTTCGATATATTTTTAATAAATCCATCGACTTTATCCGACGGTGGATAAATTTCAATTGTCAGTGTTGATTAATTTTGCAATCCCCTTCGTTTACGTGCAGAAAAACAGACCGAGTGGCAGCTGCAGGTGACGAAAAAATGTATCCGCGTGAACTCCAGCGATTCGCCATAGCCCAATATAAAACTCGACGCAAAAGCGCGAGAAAAAAAAAAGACGCCAGCGCTTTGCTTTCCCAGTAGACAGGTTAAAAGCCAGTCGCTGGAGGATCGCGCGAAAGAAAAATTCCGACGACGGCGGCATTGTTGCTCCCGGCGTCGCTCGAAAATTCGCGAGCGAAGCAAAGCAGGCGAGGAAGAACGAGGCAGGCGGGCAGGGAAAAAGGAATTACGGTAGAAAGCCCTCGTTTTTTTTTTTTTTTTTTCCTCTCTTCTTCCGAGGGAGGCACTTCAGACTTCATTTCCGGTCCCCCCCGAGGGAAGGCTGCTAATTTAATGCCGCGCGGCCACTTTGTTGCACGATTATTCCCCTGGAAACGGGGCTCTCGTTTTTCGATTCCATTTCACCGTAGCACTGCTTCTTCGATCCTCCGCGCGGTATTTCAACGAAGCGGAGTGAAACTTTTGATGCCAAGTGTGCCCCGAACGGCCAAATTTCATAAGACTTTGGGCTCATCACAGCAGTATACGTACTTACAAGTACAATATATACATTAGCTGGGAAAATAAGAGAGTTTCGTGCTGCAAAGGCAATCGTCGAAAGATCCAAAGTGCCGTTACGTTATACAAGAGCACGTCAGTCGCAGAAGAGGTGCGAAGCACTTATACGTGCAAGCAAGGGGGGCGATTCTTTTCGCGTGACGCTCGAGCCTCGGAAAAAAGGAAGGGTCGAGAGAATAATCCCCGGCGCTGGTACATACGGGCAGAGGCGACAAATCGCGAGCGTCGGGTCGGCCGAGCCCTCGTGAGTGCGATTTTTCAGATTCCACTTTTGCGGACTCCGAGCCGATTCTGCAGTATTTTCCTGATTCCAAGAGCCCCGCCGAGCAAATATGTCTTACCCCCTTTTTTGGGTGGGTCAGCTCGATTCATCCCTTCTCCTTGCGGATACTCAATGGAATTGTTTTTGCTTCTCGATAATAAGCCCCGCGCTTTGCTAACAAGGCTTTTTAACTACCCGGATGAATCTGCCCCGATTCGAGATGAAAGCGCGTGCTTGCAAGCTCCGAAGGGGCCCTTTGAAAGGGCCGTTATAATTATGATGATATTCTTTGGAAAATAAAAACGTTGTATTAGCTCTCCGACCGAGGGAAAAGCTTCGGAGATAACTGGGTCACGATGAAAACTCGACTTTACAAGTTCACTCTCGCTCTCTGGCGAATCCCAGAATTTAGGGGTGCCATGGAGATCGGATTCGAGCTCTAAGCTCGTGTGTATATATGTTACAGAGGAGGGGGCGTATGTACACATTTTCACCGGGGGTAGAAGTAACAGGCTCGTGTGCGTGCATATAGTTACAAGGAAAAGCGAGCGAGAAGCTGCTTATAATCTTGCTCCGGCGAATGATGTTCGGAGTAGGGGATTATAATGCGCGCGAGGCACTAATACTACGAGTTTGGATGTCGGGCTCGGCAAGTTCGTTGAGCACATTTGTACAGGGAGTTTTCTTTGATTCATTTCGAGGCCGAAGGAAAAATTGAAACGTTTTCACGTCTGTTTGGAAAAGTTGGTCGGATTGGAGGCATTTTTGAATTTTGATGGTATACAAACGATAAGCAACATCGCTATAAAAACAAAGTTGGCGTACATGCATGTTTTTATTCGGTGATGAGTATAGGGGAGGGTGTAAAAAAGATGACATTAGAAGTTGCGCAATGGCTTTACTAGACCAATGAAGGTAGGGGGTTGGGAAGAAAAAAAAAAAAAAAAAGTGATGTGAATAAGTCGAGAATAAGTTGAGCTCCCGCGAAACTTTAGTCGGCGGTGTGGGTGTTTTGAACATTTTTTTGCGCGACCCAGAAAGGTAAGTTTGGACGTCGGCGAGGGGGGAACAAAAACTCTTGATACGATGGGAAGACTGCGACACTGCCGCTTTTCACGCGAAATTCGACGATAATGGGGATGGTTAAACGGAGCGTGGGGTGCTCGCACGAGCACATTAGTATAAGTATGACCCGGGGGCAGCCAAACCGGAGGGAGCGGCGAATCGTAACAAAGAAATGAAATGCGGGAAGGAAGAGTGGACGGAATAAATAGACGGGGAACGGAAGAGGTGGAGCCAGCCAAGTCGGACACAGGGATGGAGACTCAAATGAACCCTAGTTCCTCTGTTGGTTTTTTTTTTTTTTTTTTCTTCATCGTTGCGTCGTTTAAATGCGAAATTACCACAGACAGATCGGAGAACCAGGATTTATCGGTGGTTGAAGGCAAAAAAAATTCGAGGCATGAAGCTACCCACCGGTTATCGTACAAAACAACGCTGTGGTGTATTTTTCGCTGGCTATGGCTAATCAACGTCACAACAGGCAACAGAAGGACTGGGGATGTTTGTCGGTCCGTAAATTTCGAGCTGTCACGGTTTTTCGGCAACCGGCACCATAGTATCGCAAGAGTTACTCTCGACTGTGTTGTCCCAACATTCGCAGCGCAACTTGTCCGATTATCCATGGTATTTAAATTGTATTAGGTGAACAAGCCATTGTGTTACAAAGTAGAGATGACCAATTCGGCGTCAAAAAGCGCATGTGAATGCATAGACAACTGTTTGGTCAACCACAGTGGAAACAAATCAAAGTATTTACTAATTCTGAAATGGAAATGTCATACAAATGTACCTGAAGACACCGAGTAACTCGATGCACTGTTCGACGCGTAGCGAAGTGATGCGCTACCCTTCCGGTATTATTATGCATTATTGAGATGTTGACCTCGCACCGATGTACGAGTTAAATTTAAACTTGGCTAGTGCTTTTACTCAGAGGTAAAAATTTATTTCAAAGATAGATGTAACATACTTACCGTAATAGTAATCCAATCATGGAAGGGTAATGTTTCATTTTGCATCTTCTTTTTTTCACGAGACTCAAGAGCGTTGGCATACATAAATTGTGTCGATGTTGTTTATTTTCATATTTTATGTGTAGCTTCGGTTACTGACACAATTGAAGTTTTCGTTACTTTAAACTTTTGTATTTTTGTTCCATTTTTTTTTTTTTTTTGATAAAGTAGTATTGGCAAAAAAAACTAAATCGTATCAATGCTTGAAGTACCTTGTGAAGCTGCACATCATATATTATTGGAATATTTCACGTTAAACTTTCTACGGGTCTGTCAATATCCAATATCAGGTACAATATTCACATTCGGTGTACGTGGTATTTGCTTTTATTTTGAGAAAAAAAGAGATTGAAGGAGATTCGAAAATACTTCGAGATTATTGCTTGACGTGAAATATTCCGATTAAGCGAATATGTAGTTGTCAACGAAAAATAAAGACAAAGTACTCACGTCATATTTTTCCTGAATGTGAGGTCCAGCCTGAGCTATGTACAGCGTGCTGGCGGTGTCGAAGACGAGTTCCTGCGGAATACGAGTTACACGCTGACGTGCCATTTCGTGGCAATTCAGGTAGAGAATGACCTCATTCGCGGTGACGCGAATGACCATTCGGGTCCATTTTTTTACGATTTTTGGCACAGTGAACTTTGCTATCTCGTCAGAGAAGGAGTGCAGATCAGAGTTCGTGTAGACCAGCGATATGTTTTGGTTGGACGATGCAGGTCCCTCCTAAATACATTTTAAACCGAAGTATATCATGTAGTTGCATTAGTATGAAATAATCTAAATAAAATTAAAAAATAAAAACTACAGTTTTGCGTGATAACCTAGTTATTATAAACTAAGTTAGGTATAAGTATATTTTCCATCTTAATGTATCCTTAAGTGAGATTAACACAAAAATTTGTCACGATCGCGACTAAAATCACGTATTATATAGAAATAGAAGTGTTTAAATCACGTAAACGATATTTTATAACAAAGTCATCTTTGGATGATTTTTTTCAAACTTTATTTTTTAAGATTGTTGACGCTTACAACTTAACCAAGGATGAATATATACTTGGTGAACTTACTCCAATTTTCTTGATTAGAACGCTAACGTGTTGCTTTGGCTAAATATTCATTTAGAAAACAACTAATCCACCCTGACAAAGCAAAATCACGTAATATACACCAGAAAATGATGTTCTTCTCACGTTACATGAGAAAAAAAAAAACAAAGATATGCACGTAAGCAAAATATGTATAAAGACTTACGGAGATACGGATGCCCAGCTGGACGACAGTCTCAAAGGGATTGAGCACCGCGAACAGATAGCTGTTCCTGACCGACAGGGGTTTGAACGAGGCGACGAGGGTGAACTCGGCGGGCAGCTTCTCCGGCAGGTACATCCGGTAGGGCTGTTTGACCTCGGAGCCGAGCCGGAAGCCAAAAGACGGGAAGCCGTCGTATCCGTCGGTTATGTAGTGGTTCTTATCGTCTATCAGCGACACGGCCGCCTCCATCAGATCGAAGTGCGTCTCTGCGAACAGGAGCATAGCGAGGGACCTCCCTCGTTACTCAGCTCTAATGCGATTGATTCAATCAACCCCCTCACCCCTCCACCCGTACCCAGCTCCCTTTCGACATCTCTCCCATTACTCGGCTATGTAGCTCGCGTGATTGGCAATTAGGCAGTGGACCCGCGCGTGATGAATGCCCCCTACACACTCGGGTCCTTTTTACCCAAGCCCGAGGACTCTGATTACGCGTGTAGGTGAATTATCGAGCACTTCCTGCAGGGTGTCTCTGGGACCTTTTACCTACACGTCTGATGTGTTTGTTTTGGAGAGATTGGAGGGAGGGCGAAAAAAAAGGATGTTCCGGGGGTGAGAAATCAGTGAGCCTAGCTGATGATGGGACGCGAGTTAATCAGAGGGTTCGTGTGAATTTGCGAGAGTCCAAGTGAATATATATATATATATATATTAAGTGGCTCAATCAAGCGACACGCGGCTCATGGCAACGGAGAATTTTTCCAACGAGTCCTTCATTTCCCCCTTTTTTCTTTGTTCCCATTGAATAATCATCCCAACAAATGATATTTCTTTTTGTACTTCCGTGCATTTCATCTTGCATTTTTACGCTTTTTGCAAAATTTTTACATAGTTTATATTCTCTACTTGGAAAAACTGAGTTAGATAGGTACGATAGTGTCCAATGTTTGTTAACACTTGTCGTTGGCGAGTAGTATAGAGAGACGCGGATACGAGCCATAGATAAGCTGGATTCAAGTTTGGATCTTTGGTGTGTCTTCTCTATCTTAAAAAAAAAAATGAGTATTTAATGGTATTGATGTTTACTTTGTGAATATTCATTTTGTCGAATAAATTGTTCGGTAACTTGAAAAAATATGTAACAAGTTGGCGTGGCCTTGATTCGATTTTGTTTTATTTTGCGCTGCAATGGTATACATTAATCAAACGGGATGTAAGTACTTCTACCCTGAAGTGTAGTTTATCATCCCCAGAAAAATTTTCAATGGTTTTTCACTTAGGGAGAGTAAGTTATTAGTTGATAAATGATACACACTAATGTAAAAGTAAGAGATTCAAAGGTCCTGCATGATCTAGAGCTCAAACAGGCTCAAAAGTCCCTAAGGAGCTTGGCTTGCGAACAAACTATACACAAGCTCTAATAAACGCACACACTCACACAGGGATAACTTTCTAAATCTCCCATGCGTGCAGCAGCGGAGAAAGGACTTTCGTGTACACTGGTACCCACGTATTATGTACGGGGGTATCGATCATTCTCACCCTGTATACACTCGTACATGGAGCGCAGTAGTTGGTGTAATAATATATGCCGTCTCGGATGAAGCCGCGCATCATAAATCGATGCGCTTACACGCGCGCTCTCTCCACTTTCGTTAAAAGCCGCCGCTGCTGCGGGTAATCGATATTTATTGCCAAAAACCGAACTGGCCTCTGACAAGCAGCTTTGCACGGCGAATCGGTTCAAAATCGCCGGTGTGGGTTTTCTGCCGAAAACTTGTAGCTCAAGCTCCCTATTTCCTCCACTTCCTTTTTCTCGAGTGGTTTTTAGTCCGAGGAGCCTTCAAAGCTTTGCCACTGGCAGGAAATTCGTGCCTCGACAGCTTTTTGCATAAAATCACGTCCATTCGGTATTCCTCGAGTGCCTTTTTTCTGAGTACCCGAGAAAAATCTTTTTCTACAAAGCTCCTTGTTTGCACGAAACAATACTTTTACTAAATAATACAATACGTCGATGCTCAAAGAGACTAGGTTTCGGCTTCTGGTGCAATTTTCATTTTGAAAGTTATGTTTCAGCAGGATGTTTTTATTGATTACTTTAAATTGAGCCACTCGCGGGACAGGGAGCCTTTAACGAATCACAAATCCTGACTTAACGACCACAAAAAAAAAAAGTAATCAACGCAGTAGCATCAGTTGAATATTCGATTGAGAAATTGCACATTCAATGGCCAATAGCCCCCGGCGCATAAACATCGAAACGGGGATTTAAATCGCTTTTTGCGCGAAAAAACAAGCTCTCGCGTTATGACTGCAGTAAAACACAATTTTCGGCCACTTGGCAGTACAATATTATACGCTCGGCATATTCTACCGATGGGTATCTACCGTACATTATATGCTCTCGAATCGCAGACGAACCGATGAATTGTTGATTCAACCAATGAAACGATGAATCTTTAAAAAAAATAGTCCTCTTACAAAAATTAAGTTGTTACCGATCATCCTTAGGTGGTACGAAAAAAAAAAAAAAAAAAAAAAAATGGGACGGATCGTCATATACATCCCTTTTGGCGAGTCACAGTTAGTTCACGGGCCGTTGAACGGATGGCGCCAGCTGTAGGAATCCCGTGGCTGCTCGTTACAGTCACTACCTACTTTACAACTCGAGCCTCGCACAATACCTATACATCCGAACCTTCGCCACACTCGATTTCATACCTACCACCATCGGGGAGCTGCCACCGTCCACTTACTCGTACGTTTCAGTGCTCGGCCGAGCGAGTCACACGCGAAAACGTAAATTGAAAAAGTTCGCGGCGGGCGTCAAACTTCCCGATGATTAATAACTCGCCCGTAAAGTGCATCGTTTATGTTTCCGTTTCGGAGAGAGAGGAAAAATTTAATTTCGTCGAGGGGGTGAAAATTTACGGGCAACGCACGTGGTGAATTAGCCAATGGACGCTTTTCATTTCTCGATCGGGACAAAAGTTTCGATCCTCGGCATGTATGATGCACACGCGATACAGCACAGTCAGTTTTCCAAGAAGGAGACCCACCCCCGGGGGAGGTTTATTTGCCGTAAAAGTTAGCCCCCGAGAATGCCAAAGTGTCGGGGGGGTTAGTTTCGCTCATTGCCGGGAAAAACGCAGGGAGAGTAATTTAACGCTCCCGGAGTCAAAGCTAGTGCGGGCTCGAGGATCTGACTTTCCAGAGTCCATTGACGGTTGAAATGACGAAATTCGGGGCAGCGTTGGCGAGACGCTTGATGCTCTTTTGTTCGAGCGCTGCGGTGAAAAACTCGCTTGATAGTCATTTTAGTGAGATTTTACAAGGGCTGAGAATATGACGAGGCGATGATGTGGAAGACGCTTTTTCTCGCGATAAATCACATTTTCACCAAGAAAAAAAAATTTTAATACATTGTTTACTAGCTTTGAACAATTTTATTTTAGCTCATAGTTCAGAGTGGCGTCCAAGATTTATGGTACAACAAAATCTCTGTTTGTACGTACATTTTTCAATCAACCAGTAAACACATCGTAAAACAAAAAGTCGGTAAATCAAGAATGACTTTTACTATCGATTAAAAAAAAAAAAAAATTATAATAACAATATCAAATCTCGTACAAGAGCGTATTAACGCGCTTTAATGGCGACCGATCGATTTGTTTCGATTGCTGTTCGGTAAAACATCGGCTCTGCGAATTAAAGCTTTTGTCGAGCTTGCAGTGGTGGGAAATCTATTGACAAGCGGTAAACATCACAATATGCATAACCAGCAAAATTGCACTAATAAAACGGAAGGGCGAATTTTGCTGGTCAAGCTCAAGCAGGGGTAGTATTAATCGTCGAGTAGAAATAAAAAATAAATTACCCACCTCATCAGAGCCTACAACGCGCAGCAATGCGTTTAAAATAACATCCGTTTGAAATCACTTGGATTTCCCGTTGGCCTGCGGGTATGCGTATACTCGTTGCTCCGAAAGCTCGCGAAAGCTCTTACCAAAATCGCAGTCGTAATTAAAAACTATCGATGCGTGTAAATTTTTGGGAATAAATGACGTGTTGATATTTATACACGTTATATAGGTAAATAAGGGAGCTTGTACCCTGTGAATGTATAAATTTTCTATGGCACTCGCACGCGGAAATCGTTTTGCATTATAGACGTGTGCACACGAATTTGCATAGCGCAAGCCCGTGATTTCGGTCCAATTCGTACGTATTCGACGCCACACGAAAGGTACCTATATACCTGTACGTTGAGCTTAACATCTTGTAAGCTTTCACACTCTGGTGAACTGTCGAGTCGATCATTTCGGAAATTAATTGTCGCTCCTTCGTTGATCGAGAAACTTTGGAGTGCATGGATAATAGCTCACGTATAGTTGATAAGGGCTTTCAAACCAGTCCTTTACGTAGAAAAAATTCAATAGCTGCTATGAGGTATTCCTGCATAGTGGCCATTTAAACCGCACAATCTAATTCGAAGAGAAAATATGATATTTTAATCTCGAGGAGTGATCTGAGAAGATAAATTAAATTTAATAACAAAGAAGTTGACGTAGTACTGAAAAAAATAATTTCAACAATTCACTTTTGTCAACTATTTTTGCATAAGATTAAAACAAAACTATACTTCTGTGTACCCTAACATGCGTAACTTGCCTCATTCAAAACATCTCGAAATATTGAAAGCAAAAAAAAATGACAAACGAAGTGTAAACGAAAAACGGGTAGGGCGACAGTACAATGTATAAGCCCTTCGTTCCCGATCTCGAGGGTCGGGATGGAAATTGGCACGCGTCGGGGCGCACGAGCCCTACTGCATTAATTGAATCTTGTTAGTCGCAGAGATACAGTCCCCCGAAACGCTATTGATATTCATGAAGCCGTGTCCTGTGAAAACGAGCTTTTCGCGTAGGACGCGCAAAAATTAACGACACACGACGAGTCAGCTACACAAACGCATTGTAATGGGCGATCCCAAAGTGTAAAAATATGGCGTAACGAGATAAAGTATATATCTCGAGTTTGATTAAAAGTAAATAGGAGGCGAGGAAGGGTGCGAACAGAGAGCAAGAAAAATAAAAAATAAAAAGTTGGCGCATCGATAAAATTGATCAGAATTAGATTTATCCCTCATGGAGGCCAGTGAGCTTAAAAAAGAAGCCCAAGCTTGCAGCGAAACGTCGAGCTTTCAGAGCTGGTAATCAATTTATCGCGCGGCGCTGGTATATTTATACGCGTACACGCCTGCCCC